CTGCTGAACTTGTTTTACTCCATCTGAAATTATAAGGCCCCACAGTCTGTTTCTATAATAAAGGCAGGTAAAGATTTTGTTTTGGAGGTGTTTTTACTAGAAGATAGGACATTTGAATTTTGCAACTCTGATGATGCCAGCCCAGATTTCCAGGACTGACAACAGCAGCTCATCTGGGGAACAATTTTTTTGTGACATATTGTAGTCCCCGTCAAGTCCTGTTTAAGTCTTACCCACACTTTACAAAGTGAAGAACATGCCTAGTTCCAAGCCTGTATGCCAGCAGGTCTGTACTTCTCCTACCTGTTTGTGAGGATAAACATTAATGTGGCACTTGATACATTCTTGTCCCATGTTAGCCCAGGAGTTTCCACTCATCCATTTTCTCTTGCATTTGGGGCACTTATATTCACCAAAACAGCGTTTCTTGCCCTGGTATGGAGTCAGGCCTTCTCCTTTTGGACGAGCCTACAAAACAAAGGGAAATAGCAATGAATGACCAACAAGGGGTGTGTGGGAAGTAGTAGAAAAGTTAAGAGTTTTTTAATTAGGAAACTTTGGGCAAAAGATAAGGGAGGCAGACATGAAGGTCATAGCCCCTTAATGAAGAGTTCATAAGTTGAAGCTAGAGTTTAACAGTTCTGAGACTTACTTCTGTAAGAAGTATTCAAAAGATCAAGAAGATTTGTAACACTTGTGACACATAGTATTTAGAAATATGCCCCTGTGCTTTTTGCAATGAATAGTTTTAATACCCATTTCAATATAAAATAATCTCTCTTGAGTACATATTGTTAGTATTATATATAGCATCTGGAGAAGTAGCTCACTAGTAAAGGACAGTATTTCTTAACTAGATTCTTGTCTGTTCCCCACTAGAACCTATCATTAAGAAAACATAATTCAGCTTTCACAGCCTCTGAACAATGAAATATTGGCAATTCATTAGTATGTGGATACGCACTAGTATATGGGAGTGCACAAACTGGAATTGAGTATGAAGGAAAGACATGTTTTTGATTAGTGGAAATGATTAATTACATGAACATCAGTTGGTTTCTTGCTTGTGGTAAATGGTTTCATTGATTTCTACATTTTGATGGAAATAGGAAGGGATTCTCAAATGGACTGTTGTGATGTCTAAATGTTAAATGCCCCCTGAAGAAAGCCTTTTTATCTAGGGAAGCTAACAGAGTAGACAATGACCTTATGCAAGTCCTGGTTTTATTTTTTCTAAATACACTAGCTAAAACTGTGTTGTACTAACAAAAGTATAGTAAGGTACATAATATGCTAATGTGTTAAGGTAAAGATGAGTGTTGCACGCAGCTGTCTTAAAGACAGCTGTTAAGATGAAGGTATCTACCCAGAGTCTCTACCAGGTGTTGAAATACAGCCCATGTTGTTTATTGTCGCCTGGAGGGAGATATTTTGCCTGTGTAGTGGCAGAATGGCATGATCACCTATCAAAGGATTCTTTGTCATATATTTATATGCCATGCCTCTGTGGCTTTTTTTTTTTAAGGTTCACAGATTAGGTTTACAAAAGTTAAATGACCCATCATGCTGGGAAAGGGTTTGTTTTTTGTTTTGGGAGCTTGTATGATTTCTCAGTGCGTAGGTCCAAATTGCTTTCCATGTGAAAACATGGGTTGAAAAAGCAGGTGGTTGGCAGAAGACCTGTGGTTGGCAGGAGCTCTGAGACTAGAGCTCCCGTGGCTGATGGAGATGGTTTTTGCTGTGTTACCCCCCCAGTCACATGTGGGAAAGGAATGTTGAGTGCACTGCAGAAGAGGAGCAGGAGGACCCCAAACCTACTCTGGCCTCTTCTTTTTTTTTTTTTTTCTGTTTTCCTCCTTTCCTGTAGTGTCAATAAACAACATTCTCTATTTTTCATGGATATTCCTCAGCATACCCATATTCTTTAAAAGATCAGATGTGGTAGCAACCTCTATTACAAATAGGCAAACATCTATAATAACTTGCTTCATGACACTCAATCTTACAAGTCACTGTAAATATTCTGGACGCAGAGCAAGAATGAAGCTGCCACTAGGACACATATATTTACAGAAGTACTGCACAGAAGAAAAAAAAGTGTTCCTTGGTATAATGAGAAACATTTGGATTTCCATGACTGAATGAGTGCTGGCAGGCACCCACAATGTAATCTTCTGATCCATGGTGTCCCTTGATAAGGATGGGAGATGGTAATTGAATGTAGGGCAGGAAAATGTCAATTTATGGAGACGTCCTTATTCTGGACACTTAATTTGGCTCTGCCTCTAAGGAATTTGTAGCATGACTCAAGTCAGTGTAAGAAGGAGCCACATGCTCTCTTCATTTAGAAATTCTCATGGAATTGGATAGGAACCCTGTGTACAGAGAGCTCCCACGATTAAGAGACATTCCCCTTCCTCCTGAGGCGTCACAGATTGCTTTATCTGTAGTTTCAGTTGGAGCTATGTTATTGAATAGAAGATAAGGATTATTTCTGATTCTCGGTTTCAGTGGCATTCAACTTAAACTCCTCCTGCAGTCAGACCTGCAAATGCAGCTTCATTACCTCTATGAAGAAGCAGTCCTTTCAGAAAATGTACAGGTCACAGAGCACGTTATTGCCAACAGTAATGGCACTGACTTTGGAGACAGAGCATGCCTGAGAAGTCTTGTAAATATTTACAAACAGGATTTAAACATAACACTCCTCCTGCAATATGTTATGCCAGCCATAAAGAGCATTTAAACATCAGACTCCCACAGCAATATGTTGTGCTAGCCACAGTTCACAGATGGGGAAACTTTCGGAGATGGTCCCTTGGAGTGGGCCGATAACTGCAGGTTTCTCCAGGTCAGGTAGCTGACTTCAGAGACGCCAATGCCCTGAAACGCTCTGCCTTCACAAATGCACAGAAGGGCACTGAAGATGGTAGTTGGTAAAGTTCTCTGTGTGCACAGCTGGGCATCAGAAATGGAGGCTTTCCAAATTAGAAGCTACCTTTAAAATCTGGCTTCTCCAACTTGCTCAGTAAATCGGAAGCAGAACCAGGAAAAGAACATAGAAGCCCTGACTCCGGCAGTAATTTCCTGTTATAATTGCTAGACTAAACTTCTGATTTATTTTTATTTTAATTTTTCAGCTGTCACAGCTCCCTCTTCAGTCAGTGACTTTAATTAGTTTGCTGGCAAAGCCACAACATTCTCTGTAGGTGTTTCGCTATGCTGCTTTATGGATGTTTATAGTTTGCCCTAAAGGATATTATTTTCCTTCCCATATCTTCAGTTTCCCAAACTGTGCCCCACAGGGAACTTGGATTCTCAAACAAACAAGGTCATTTTCTGGAGTGAGAAACATCATTAGGAAGCACTGACAGCAGCGAAGGCAACTGTCCAACTCCCTCCACCCTTCAGGTCCAAACAAAACAGATATTTGACAGTATTTGGTGGAAGGCAAAACCTGAGCAAGATACACTAATGGCCTGAGAGGTCTGAGGCTGGGTGTTCTCTTTTTTTTTTTTTTTTTTTTTTTTTTTTTTGTTCGTGTCTGGCTTCAGCAGCAGCACAGTTGAATTGCATAAACATTTCTGAGAAACAGCCTGCTCCGTGGCGCAGCGGCAGCCAGCCCTGCCCGGCAGGGTGCTCCAGCGCCCGGGGGCTCTGCCACAGAGGTGTCTCAGTGCTCATACAGCTGGAGGACAAGAATGGTTCTCATCAAAGGTTTTTCTTAACTAAGTGCCAAAAAAGAGCAAGACGACACATTTTGTCTGCTGGTATTAACCTAAAGGCTCTTATTTTACGAAACGTGGGATTTACCTTGTTTACACCATTAACCTCCCACTCCCTTCCCGCTCCAGCTCAATTTGAATGGTGCTTAATAGTAAACCTTGGTTGCTGTTTAGGTCCTGCAATTCCCTCACTGAGCATTATCTTTTCTTACTCTTTCTGCAGATAGGGATTTATTTATGTTTTAAGTTAACCTGGCAAAGTTATGCCCCTATTCATAAAGGCAAAATATTTTGTTGTTACCATGTTAACGTATGTTGTCCTGTTGCCTTTAGGTCCAGGTAGTCTTTGGCCCAGTTTCTACCCTTGGCTGCAAAAGTTTGGTGGGACATCCATCTTACCATGTTTGAAATAATATCCAAACTAGCTTACAAACTGTAATGTGAACAAAGTTTTTATGTTTTCAGCATTCTTTTTGTCTGGGGAGTTGACAATTTTATGCTTTACACTGATTTGACATGCTTATGTTGTAGAACCAAAGCGTCTGGCATTTCTCCTGCTATGTGACCGTATGGCTCTCCAACAGATACATGTATTTTCATCCAGACATTTCAAAGATTATTTAATGGGGCCAGGACAGGTACGCTTTTGGGGATGATCAAAACCAAACAGATTTTTTTAGAAGGACCAGAAATTAGCTATAACTTGAAGTATGTCTCAATATCCAGACCTAGAACTACACAACAGGTTCTTTGTGCTGCTTCGACTTTGGAAATCGGCAGGGGATTTGCAAGGTTTCCTTCCCCAAGGTACCCCTGTGGTGGGAGCTGTGGCTTCCCTCCTTGTGGCTCTCAGGCACAAATTGAAGCCAGTCTCGGACTGGTGGTGTTAGTGCTGAGCTGAAGGGGATTCCCTCTGGCCTTGAAGTTGGGAAGCAGCATGGATTCTGTCCACCTGCACTTAGCCAAACGCAAGGACCTTGCCCTTCAATTTATGAGACAGTGATACATCACCTTGGTCTTCCAGACAAATGAAATCATCTTTGCAGGTTTACCTAGCCAGTGCACGTGTTTACCTTAGCTAGATCCAATGTATGTACAAAGCCAGTATTTTTGGTGTGGCACAGCAACAAAAATGACATTGCTATTCTATCCTTCGCTGACACCCAGCTGCCTCTGTTTTTTCATCCTCTTCCTTTCTTCAGCCAAAACCACAAATTGGCCATAATAAGATTTTAAAAGTGTTTAAGTTGAGCTTTTCTGCTGGTAACTGGCCAGCCGAGCGCTCTCTCAAACTATCGGACTGTGCATCTCATGGAGGAATCTGCCAAATTACTTGGCAGTGACGGTCATAATAAAGGACTCTTTGCTTTCCCCAAACAATTCCCTCAAAGTATCAGTTTGCAGAGTCAGCAAAAACCAAACAAAACCCCCTACATGCCCTGCTTAAAACTAGACTTATGATAAACAACAACAGGCAGAGAGTTCCCTCGAAGTGAAATGCGGAGGAACAACGTATTTAACGCTCTTTTTCCCCTCATCTTTCTCCAAGTTTGTGTATTACACAGCTGAAAGGCATACAGCATGGGGAACATGAAGTCAGCATGCCACTGGTACGTGGGTCCCCTTCCTAGAAGAACTCTGTAGGGCTCTGCTTATAAGGATGCTTCATCAAATAAAGCAGAAAAGCACTAATAGCAAACCACAGCTTGATGCACTGACTGGCTCCCAAGTGTTTTGTAGGAG